CTCTGTGAGTTCGAGGCCAGCCTGGACTACCAAGTGAGTCCCAGGAAAGGTGCAAAGCTACACAGAGAAACCCTATCTCAAAAAACAAAAACAAAAACAAAAACAAAAAAAAAAAAAGAATCATAAAATCCAAAACTGTGGTTAATTCATTTTGAGGGGGTTTTGTTTGCACATTTCATTGTTTTTCTTTCCCCATCATTCTCAGAACCTTGTCTCTTTTTCAATGAGTAATTATTTAGCTTGTTTCTAACTTTTGTTGCAGTAGCTCAGCTCACATGTTTCAGATTATTCATGCCTAGCTGATTAATCAATGTCAGTTATTTCACTAAATATACATTAGTGTTGTTGACAAAGCATAATTTGTTGAGTTTTTATTAAAAATTCATTGAGTTCTATGTTTCATAAATTCTCAGTTGATATTCTTTTTAACTAAAATATTATTTAACATATTTTATCATGTTTTCACATTTATGAGATTTTAAACTATTAATTATTAATGTATTTGCTATTGTTTTCTGTTACTACCACATATCTTTAGGCACTTTGGCTTTTATTGAAGCATTCATTAGTTTTTTTTTTTTTAATCACAAAATATTTATCTTTTTAAAAATAATTACTTTAGCTTTACACATGTGTGCACATGAATGCAGGTGGCCTGAGAGGCCAGAGAGTATTCAGTGTCTGGAGCTGTAGTTGTAGCTGGTGGTGAGCCACCCTGCATGGGTGCTGGTAACCAAACTTAGGTCCTTTGCAAGAGCAACGAACATTGCAAACCCCCAAGTTATCTCTCCAGCCCCAAGCCTGTCTTTCAAAATATCCTGAGTGGAGTGGGGAGATGACTGAGTGAATTAAGAACTTCTCCTGAAAGTGTGCAGACCTGAGTTCAAATTTCAAGAACCGTTCTAAAGCTAGGCGTGGTAGCTGTGTCTATAATCCCAGCGTTCCTGTGGCAAGAGAGAAGCTGGAGGCAGGGGGATCTCTAGAATCTGGGCCAGCTAACCTGAGTTTGCACAGTAGCAAACCACAAAGAGATCCTGCTACAAATAAGACAGAAGGCAAGAACTTTGACCAGAGGTTGTCCTCTGGCTTGCTGTGGTATGCTTTGACACATATATCCCCATACTCACACACATGAGTGCTCACAGGCACACACACACACACACACACACACACACACACACAGAGGAAACAATAAAATACCCTGGGTATGCCAAGACAAAGACTCTATAATTCGAAATTTCAAATCCCCGAAATGGTTCTTAGTTTGCTCCTCAGCAACACTGGTTTCCAGGAGGCATGCATTGAACATTTCAATTGGGTTACTGACTCACCTGCTCTCTACACCGTTCTAATAGCTTTTCGAATTTCTTCTTAGTTGGGCAGGTGGGTGTCTCCATGTTAGTTAAGGCCACAGCTACTTGATTCAGTCTTCTTTTTATTTTTAGATTTGTCTGTAATGATTTCTAAATAGTGTGACCTTGAACATCATCACCATTATGTCCCAGTCCCTGTTTACATCCTGTGATAGGTTCTTCCCTGTTAGTTTTTTTTTTTTTTTTTACATTTATTGGTTCACTCTGTGTGCCTGTGCACATGTGTATGCAGGTGGTGATAGCTTCTGCCCTGTTTGTTTTTACGTTTATTGGTTCACTCTGCATGCCTGTGCATATGTGTATGCAGGCGCACTTGTCTGTGAATATGCACAGGGAGACCAGAGCCAGGTCTGGGTTCCTTTTGCAGTTGCTCTCTGCCTTACTTTTTGAGACAGCGTCTCTCTCTGAATCCAGAACTTTCCAATTTGTCTAAACTAACTGACCCTAGGATCTGCTTCTCTTGGTCTCGCAGCCTGGAGTTACATACGTACATTTTACCCACTGAGCCATCTTCCTAGCCCCAAATAATTCTCCCCCCCGCCCAAGCTGATGTACCTGTTGTGGTGTGCTACAATTTTCTTCTACAACGGGTACATTCATAACTTCTTCTTCCAGCAGAGGCACACCTGATTCTGCTGCCGCCATTCCAGGTCTGCCCTTGAAGGACTTCTGACTCGTTGGGCCAGTTTTTTTCTTAGTCATCACTTCTGGTTCTTTCTTAGGTGAAGTATGAGATAAGAGGATTTGCTTGCTAGCTAAAATGGAGAACTATTATGTTAGCATATTTGGTGTGCATTGGTATTACTGATTACAGCCTACATACACACTTATAGAATATAGTGTACTTAAAAGGGCATGCATATTTTTAGAAGATTAAAAAAAAACCCACTGGATCTTTTCAAATTTTCTGGCCTTAGAGTTATTTATTAAGAAAGTTCATGTGGGGCTGGAGAGGAGATGCATTAGTTAAGAGCACATGCTGCTCCTGAAGAGGATCCTGGTTTAGTTTTCAGCATCCACCTGGTACCTTAAAACCACCAGTGGCTCCAGTTCCAGGAGGTCCAAATCCTTCTTCTGGCCTCTGTGGGACCAGGCATGCACATGGTGCCATTCATACATGTAGGCCAACACTGATATACATACATAAATATTAAAAAATAAAATACAGACTCATGTATAAAAAATAAATTTTCTCAAAGTTTTCTTTAAAGGAGAGTCACAACCAATCTGTCAGTTTTGGGAGCCTAATTAAACAAATAATTACACTGGCATCATTGGAGTCAAGTACAGTGTTTGTCAAGTGTGAAGTTTTGGTTTCCATTTTAAATTAAACATTTGAAATGCCACAGCAGCACAAGCATCCACTCAGGAATGCAGTCCACACTCCAGGTAAGTACTTACACTGGGAGCTCAGTGCTCTTTCACTCCCCAGGAAGTAGAAGGCAGGGATGATGGCCTGCCCTTTGCCTGTGGCGCTCACCATGATCTCCTCACTTTCCAGCACCTGCAGCTTGATGAAGGCGTCAGGCTTGGATGTGCGGACCTGTATGGTGATGCACTGTGCCAAGGTCACTTTGATGGAGTACCTAGAGTGAGAAAAGTTCAGCCTTAGGAGCAAGCACACTGGTCTTTCCTCAAGTTGATAAAGGAAATGGTGTGATGTTCTCATTTGATTGTCTGAAAGTAGAGCAGCTTTGTAAGGCCCACAGACCTGCTAAAATGTTCGAGTGACCACAGACTTTGACAAAGGAGCCCCAAATGACACAGTCAAGAAAAACAGTAGCATGTTTCCATTATTAGAGTCTATCAGGTCGATCTCAGTCCTCGGGGGTGGCCTTGATCTGGAGGTGGTGGGAATGGGAGGTGGGCTGGGGGGAAGAGGAGGGGGGCAGGAAGGGGGAGAACAAGGGAATCTGTGGCTGTTATGTAGAACTGAATAGTATTGTAAAATAAAAGAAAAAAGAAAAAAGAAAAAAAAAAGAAAACTCCAAGTAGGAAATGTATCTTTTTGTTAAGTACAACAGGAAGCCACTTATGAAACAGAATAGATCTAAAAGCCACCATCCTTGTCAGCCACGTGACCAGCACTACATGTCACATACTCACACCACTTTACAGTAGAAAAAGAACAGCTCACAGAAGCAGACCTTTGCAAGTTTCACCCTCAATACCACTTTGCTCTGAAGAATAAAATACAGAGAAACCAAAAGGATTCTCAGTGCCCCCCACCGCCATCTCAGTTTACCCTGTATAGCCATGATAAACACAATGACCAAATGCAACTTAGGGAGAAAAACATTTCTTTCACCTTATAGTTTATAGTCCATTGTGAAGGGCAGTCAGGGCAGGGACCCAAGGCAGAAACCACGGAGGAGTGCTGCTTACTGGCTTGCTCCTCTTAGCTTGCTCAGCCTGCCTTTTTAAATAACCCAGAACCACCTGCTCAGGGGCAGGACTGCCCGCTGAGGGCTGGGCCTTCCCACGTCAATCACTAATTAAGAAAATGCCCACGAAACCTGCCTACATGCCAGTGTGATGGCATTTTCTCAATGTGAGGTTCCCACTTCCCAGATGACTCAGCTATGTCAAGTGGGCAAATGACCAGCACACTCCCACACTCACCCTGGGATGCACAAGCTGGAAAGCTTCAGTAAGAAGAGTAGGAAAAGACGATCAAGCCATACTCTCCTCCCTCCCAGAACAGAGTTGTAAGGGTTTTTGTTTGTTTGTTTAACTTTAAAAGCATTATTACTGTCTGTCTGTCTGTCTGTCTGTCTGTCTGTCTCTCTCTCTCTCTCTCTCTCTCTCTCTGTGTGTGTGTGTGTGTGTGTGTGTGTGTGTGTG